GTCATATCAAGCGTAGTGTGTGATAAGCTAAAGCCATTTGCGATAGCACTGATTGGGCCTTATCAGTGCGGCTTTATGCCTGGTAAATCCACCACTGACCAGATATTCACGCTACGCCAAATCCTGGAGAAAACTCATGAGTTTCAAATCGATACCCACCATCTTTTCGTCGATTATAAAGCAGCATTCGATAGCCCGAGGAGGGAACGTGTATATGCCGCACTGTCTGAGTTCGGTATCCCTGCAAAGCTAGTGCGACTTTGCAGAATGACGTTGAGCAACACTCGTAGCTCCGTCAAGGTAGGAAAGGACCTCTCCGAACCCTTTGATACCGTTCGAGGTTTCAGGCAAGGCGATGCCCTCTCGTGCTATCTCTTCAACTTCCTGCTGGAGAGTGTGGTGCGCAAAGCTGGTGTACACCGAGGCGGAACGATCTTTTTTAAAAGCGTTCAGCTTCTTGCGTACGCTGATGATATAGACATTATCAGCCGTACCAGGAGAGGCGTCACCGGAGCATTTGCGGCTATTGAGAAGGAAGCTGCAAAAGTGGGTTTGGTGATAAATGAGAGCAAAACTAAGTATATGTTTTCCTCTAGCAGGGACACGCGGCAACCAGACTCCCAGATCGCGGTGGAAAACTATACTTTCGAAATGGTGAAAGATTTTATGTATCTTGGCACCACCGTCACAGCAACCAACGATGTCAGCCAAGAAATCAAATGGAGATTAACTCTAGCCAATCGATGCTACTTCAGCCTCAGTAGGCAATTGAGTAGCAGAGACCTTTCCCGAAAAACCAAGCTAACGCTCTACAAGACGCTCATCCTCCCCGTGCTGCTTTATGGTGCAGAAGCATGGGTGATATCGCAGACTGATGCAGCAGCTCTTGCAGTGTTTGAGAGAAAGATGCTTCGGAAGATCTTCGGTCCCATACGCGTTGGCGACGACTACCGCATACGATGGAACAGCGAACTGTACGAGCTCTACGCTGACATTGACATAGTCAAGCGAATAAACATCCAGCGGCTAAGCTGGCTAGGTCATGTCGTGCGTATGGAAGAAGACGCCCCAGCGAAAAAAGTTCTCGATGCGGATGTTGGGGGGAGACGACGACGGGGGAGGCCTTGCCTACGTTGGAAGGACCAGGTAGAGAACGCACTTACTACCTGCGGAGTGACCAACTGGAAGCGACGCGCGCGAAGCAGAGGCGCGTGGAGAGCTGTGTTACGTCAGGTCATAGCCCGATAACGGGTTTGAAGACCAGTCAAGAGAAGAAGAAGACGACCTGGCAACAAAACTCTCTAATTAGACATTGATTACCAAATGCCACTGAACTGTGTAATTTTAATTGATTTGCACCGCAATCATGCAAAACATCTAAAAGTTTGTTGTGTCCAGTAAACTGCAAAGTAATATATAATTAAAGCATTTCTGTAGAAATGTATTATTAAGTCAGGAGAATATATAGCTTTGCCATGGGTTTTCAAGAATATTACCTCACACACACACACACACACACACACACACACAACAAAACCTTAAAATTAATTAATTAATTTTTAACGCTTAAATCACAACTGTTTTCGCTGCAACTTAAGTCATTTTTTTTCAGTTTAATTGCCAGTGACAGCATAATTCATTAGTACTTATACATATATACGTGTATATACATTTGATATATGTATGTACATGTTCGATAGATTAACGTCGCGCACGTGCAGAATTTCCCATATATAGTACAACTCACTGTGTAGAAACTTCGGAAGGTGCATTGATTTGTCAATTATTATAACACGATACCCGAAAAGGTAATTAAGCAAATTGAGCATACAGGTATTAACTGTAATTTAGCTATTGGCATTATGCAGGCTGATGGTCGGTGCTAGGGCAATTAATTATTGTATGATAGGCTATGATGCATGTACGTATCGGAGTCATGTTTACAGCCATAAATAATATGTAATGTTACATTAAATGATGCCATCTGTCTTCTAAGTGTCTCTGTCGAAAAACTAAAGCACACGCCCACAGCTCCTGGATAAGTGCGTGTATGCTCAGACGCCCCAAAGCTTAAGCATAGACGAGACAAGCATCTTAAGAGCAATGACTACAACGAACATACAAACAGATATGTATATGTATTTATATATGAACATAATGTATGAAGTGGTATCCCAGTGCGGCCGACTGTGCACCTAAGTGGAAACCTTGACCACTTGAGCGTTAGAATTACATTTGCAAGCGAGCAACAAAATAGGCACAAAGCTCAAAATGATTGCTCAAGATATTGGAGATATTTCATAGGCATATGACAAACAGAATGTAGCATATTTTGCCTACGCGCCATATGTGCCACACATTGTCAAGTTGTGTGTTCGCATTTCTATTCGTATTTATTTTTGTTCTTATATTCTGTTTTTCTTTGCGATGCCCTCTTGCCAGAAGAAAAGACGGCATGAAGAGGCCGAACTTGATCACCCACTTAAATGCTGCCCAGCATGTGTGACAACAACGCAGCATAAATCGCATGAAAAGGCATTATTAGCTACACATACACACAATGTCACCGATACATACTCGTATCTGTTCAACACACACAAGCGCACACAGATGTCGCAGAGCAAAGAAAAACAATTAAATAAGAAAACAATTTACATAAATTAGCCCAAGTGGCAAATGACTAGGGCCAAGCATCGTTTAGCCCAACACTCACAAAAATGTACATATACAGAGAAACACACACGCACACTCTCACATCGCATCTACATAAAATACACATTTAGCCAAGTGGTTAAAGGAACTGCTGAAAAGTATGCTACACTATTGCTTCACACGAGCCGACTCCTTGAGCCTAGTTTCCTGTATATTTAAAGAACATTACATTACTGTACCAAGTAATTTAGTTTTGTATATCACAAAAACACTCACACGCACACGCACACACACACCTACTCGAACATTATGAAAACAAAACCATTTCAATATTTATAAATGAAAAAAATGTACTTTTTTCAAATTATATTATTATTTAAAGCGTAAATATGTTCTTCATAATTGTATTCAATATCTATAGATAATTATCAATTATACTTGTATTCGTTTTGTGGCTTCTTATTTTTCTTCAGAATAACTGCGTTTATCTCAATATCAATTATTATGTTTTCCTCTCTCACGAGTTCCCTTCTGGTCTATAATAAATCCTTACAAGTACATGAACCCAGCTCTCAATATTTTTTATTTTTTAATGATTCTCTACACATTGACAGTTTTGCCTGTCAACACAAAACAAAAGATTATAAATAATTTTGTCAATTGTGTAGCGTAATTAGTGTCTTGTTCCAAAGCGTCAATGCAATCAAATACAGACAAACATGTCTGGCCAAAACAGACAAATGCAGAAGGAGGCAAGCAGAGAGGGACAAAGACAGGCAAGACAAGTAGAGCATATTCGATAAAATAAAACGATATCCTCATGAGCTATTCAAATTAGCAATCTAGGTCCATAACTCACGCATGTTTCATGGGCGAACACAATGGAGAGACTTGCAGGCTGGAAGCTGATTACCCGCATATTCCGAAGGCAGTTTTTACCCAACATATGACAGATGGAGAGGGAGGGGAAGAGGACGAGGCATTTGCAAGTTGACAAGGCCAACTATACAGTGTTGTAATTTAATTAGCAATTGTAGGAAAAATGTTGCTTTGCCTGTACAAGACAGTTTGCAAGCATTGGCGCCTCTTCTAAACCTACGTTGAATATTTTTATGATTTTGACGACAAAGCAGTGCCAACACTCTACAAATACACACAAAGTCTCACACGCACGCACACAGACACAAGCACAGACACATTGGCAATTCAATGGCTACTAATCCCACTAATCTGGACAGCCTTGACTTTGTGCACTTGCTAATTGCGCTTCGGGCATTTGCGTTGACATTTGTGTGACACCTAATTAAACTTGAACTCTGCTTCCTTTTTTTCGTCCTATTTTTTTTTGTTTTTTTTTTTTGAATATTTAATGAGGTCGTATGTATGTAGAAGCCAAAGAGCTGTGCATGGTTGACGGGTGGCCCACAAATGAAGGTCATATGCGTAGCTGCAAATCCATTTAATACTATTTGCGCAAATATTCTCACAATTTTTGGGCCCGTAGACAAGTTTTGGGCTTAAGTTTTACGACGCGTAACAAAATATGCAACACTCGAAACCCTTTTTGCCACACTTATCGGCAAATTTCCGCACACGAACGCAAAATCAACATAATTTTATTTATTTAAAGCAATATCGACTTTCCAAAAGGGTCAATATTGAGGTGGCGAAGGGGGCAGCGGGAGCGCAGAGCCAAGGAAAAGGTTGACTACTCAATTACTTTAATTTGGTGGGATTGAAAGCAATGACAACAAAACCAAAACCAAAGCCAAAGGCGAAGAAGAAAAGGATGCATGGTTGGCGAAAAATCAAAGAAGCCCAGCTCGTTTTTTTTTCTTCTTTTTTGTTATTGCATGGTGGCTAGTCAAACGAAAAATGTATTTTCAGCAGCACACTTTTTGCAGTTTTTGTTGCTCCCGATGTTGCTGGTGCTGTTGCCCCAACTCAACTTGAGCTGGGCTGCAAGTGGCAGCCACATCCTTACCCATAGACACCGAATTTTGTTGATGCCGTGGAGCAGTCGAGACAAGGCAGTGACCCACTTACATATGCATATTAAAAGGCAACAGTTTGGTTCAACTCTGATATGCGTACAAATTGCGATTTATTGAAGCGTGAGCGACACAGCCGCCGTCAAAAAATGCAAATGCCGCTTTTGTTATTCATTTAAATGCTCTCGCAAAACTATGAATTTAATTTTATTATGCAGCAAAGTGTAGCTCTGTGGTCGGCTGCGGAAATCGCTTTGCGCTTTAAATCGACCGCAAAAAGAACACCATACTAAACCGCTTTTCTTTTTCCTATTTCCACTTCTTCTTCTCTCTTCTTTTGCCTGCCTTGCTCATCAGCCCGATGCGAACACAACGCAGGACACAAAACTTAATCGCTTGCGGCAACGTCTTGGCAGATTCTCAGCGGCAAAGAACAAGCACGCTGGCACAGCGTTGGGTCTCGTCGAGGGTCACTCGACCAATACGGTGAATACCGTCGAGGACACCGAGTTCAGTAGCTCGAATGTGGACAGCAAGAGTCGTGCAGGCATCGAGGTAAGTGCCAACACACCGAACAACATCCTCTCACTACGAGTTACACATTTTAAGCAAATTTCATAACGCCTGACATGTGCCCAACGATCTGAAGTTGGTCCATGAACACATTGCCAAATACACAAACAACACACACTTTCCCCCACATCCGCATGCACACGCAGACACACACATACACTCACGCATATAAAAACGAAGATAGTGGCGCATCTAAAAATAAGTTTTGACACGATGCCTAGGCACTTTTCGTGCGGGCGCTCATTTTTGATTGTAATCACGTTTTGTGCCGAGCCCTTTTCCCAAGTCTGTCAGCAACGGCCAGCCAGCGGCCTTAATACATGCATATACTCTTTACCGAACGGGCTATATTTGACCAATTGGACAAATATGAAATAAATTCAACTTTGGTCTCTTGCTTCTAGTCGAGATATATTTCAACACATTTGTATTTATATATTTTCATTTATATGTATACTTGTATGTAGTCCAAAGGCAACGCTTTATTACGAAAGGGTTGTGAACGTTGTTTCTTCGAAAGTTGCAGATATTGAGCATTAACTTTCATACTGCAAAGACTTCTGCAAAAACAAAACTATGTATGAACAAGATAGTTTACTGAATATGTTGATCTTCTTAAGACATACTTGTATATAAGATTACCAAATCTCGTTTCGATAAAATGATTGTAACTAGTTATTCAAAGTAATGATAATAATTTTGTTTAAGTAATGTACAGATCAAAATTTGGAATATTTACCAACTTATAACGATATTGAGCTGATCGGATATTGGTTTTTAAAAACACTGAATCGTACACAGATTTATTAATATTAAATATTAAGAGATATTTTTTAGCATTTCAATGAATACAATAGAAGATTTTCTTTCCTACTTAACTATTAATTTTTTCAAATTTCGGATCAGGCCTCAAAATTGATTCGAAACATATATTATGACCTCTACACTTTGTACTTCAATCATTTGTATATAGAGGCTATATTTAGAGGCTAAATAAGCTTATCTCTCAGAAGTCAAAATATAAATAGTAAAAAAAATAATTTACGAAATAATAAATCAAGTAAGTTGTAGTAGAATGTGATTCAACTAGTTGGCCAGATTATAGCTATGCTGTAAAATATGCTTAAGAAAATATAGGAAACAAACATTTTAAATGGGGCCCATTTGCATATTTGTAGGGTGTTTTACACACAAACAATAATTTTAACTACGTTGAGCCTTACATTTTCTAATTATGCTTAGAGCAAGATTCGCTTAGTATTAAGCAGGTAGAGCGTAACATATGCCCGTTTGTTTTCATTTCGTTATCGTTAACGGAATTCCCAAGTAAGCCACTTGCTGCGCTTATCAGACAGCCGCCTGGTTGTGCACATAAATTGCGTATACGCCGTGCTGTCATCAATTGAAAATGAACCCCGATACGAGCAGCAGCAAGAACAGAAGCAAATTCAGTAGCCGACAAAGAAGTCAACATTCCACGTTTATTGCAATTTCATGCGACTAAACAGCTTAAATGCATATAAATAAGTCGCTGGCAGGCATTTGGAGCACGTAGCCAAACATTCGGCAGTGCCTAGGTGGCTCAAAGCCCAGGTCGACGCTTGAGTCGGAGCGTCGACAATCCACCAAATTACCTACTCAACAAAATGTTTGCGATAAAATGCAGGACAGACTCAGCTGTAGGAGCTCTGAGGCACAGCCATAGCTACAGGCAAGGGCGAAGGCGAAGGCACAGTCAGAGCCTGAACGCATGCCAGTTTTTGTTTATTGCATATATTTATGTTTCTTGATTTTGTTCGCTGCTGACAGCAATAATAACAACAGCCTCTGCAGCAGTGACGACAACAGTGCTGGCAAATTTTTATTTAGCCGCATTTTATGTACTTCAATTTCAGGTTTTTACGACTAAAAAATACACACAAGAGGGCAAACATTCAATAATAACACATTAAATTTAGCGTTAAGCAACGGAATTGCAGGGCATGGTATGGCACGGCATGGCCTGGGAGGGTCATGACCATGGATGCCGAAATGGAATCCAACACGAAACCATAAAAGAGCGCAAATCGAAATAAATGGTTGGTGCGTTTGTTTGCATTGAAAAGGTGCCAAAGTCGAGTAGCCAGCAAAAAGCCAAAAACCCAACAGGAGAAGTTAGATGCCAGTCGGCACAGAAGTTAACTGAATGGCTGGATGGCGAATCCTGCAAGGCCATAGATGGCAAACGCTAGAACAAACAAGCCAACACGTAGCTAGGCAGGGAATAGGTTCTATTCAAGGCTTCAAAGGTCGGGCATACAAACAGACGCAGACCCTCTCACACACACACACACACACACACACACACACACACACACATACATGCAGAGTGCCTGAAAGTGAAGAGTCAAATCGCCAGGTTCGTGCAGGTTAAGTAATAGGAAAGTCAAATATAAGCTGTGACAAGGATACGCGAGCGCACAAACGACCATGCAAAATGGACCAGCCAGCGTAGGTAAAATGAAACAAAGCACAAATGAAAAGCATTGGCTAGCAAGGCCATGGACCATGGTCGTTTTTGGTATGGGTATGAGAGCCTTCCCTAACAAGGCACTCAATACGCTTGAGTAATTGAAGAAAATATGTTGATGGCTTATAGCTAACAGCTTTCGTTTCCATTCGCTTGGCTACAATTTCGCTGGCCTGGCTAACTCTGTTTATTATTATTTATTTTGCTTTTCCTTTTTTTTTTGGGGGGGGGGGGGGGGGGGTGTTTTGTTGGTTTGTTTAGCTTTCCACGCATTGGCGTCGCACAATCTTTGCGTAAATATGCGACAGGCATAAAGATTAAATATTTACTTTGGCAAGCCTTCTCTTTCACCATAGTTTCCTGTGTGCGCGCGTATGTGTGTGAATAAGTGGAGAAATGGACAGCCAGTAAATAAACAAACACATGCACACACTGGATACTGGTTTTTGGATATTGGAGAGGGTATAGCCAAAAGCAAATATATGTATATATGTATTATATATTATATACGAGTATATATGAAGGGGCAACTGGTGAGCAATTTTATTCTTCAACATAAAGACGCAAGCTTGACCACACACACAAACAAAAAACTGAAAATACAAAAAACAGAAACTGAAACAAATTCGAAACAAAAACAACGAGTCAATGGGTGTACAAGAGGCATCAGAAATAAATTGCAACAAATATACATTTCACTTAAATGCACGCTGCGTGTGTACAAATACGTATGCGAATGAGTGGGCGTATAGGTGTGTGTATATGTGTGTTTGTTTCCACAAGTGTGATTGTGTTTTACGCACACAAAAAAAAAACACACACACACAAGCGCCCGGTCACATACATAAAATATTAGTTTGGTGGGAGCGCTACATGTGCATGTATTTGTTACACTTTATTTATTTTGCATTTTCTATATGCGTACGAATAGCTTTTATTCGTTTTTGTTGGCCGACCCTGCCGTTAAAATGTTTGTTTCTCAAATGCTGCCAAGCTCATGGTTATGCATGAATTAAATATGAGCAAGCTGCAGTTTCTTTGTTTGTTTGTTGGACCTACATGGCGTATGCGTTTTGTTTGCTTGACATCATGAAGTATGGCCGGGTACCAATTCCCCAAGCCGAGTGAAATACAGAGATCGGAAAATAAAATACAAATTTAAACGAACTAAGCACTTATACTTGTACATACCTATGTACTCATATATATTAGTTCCATACATTGGGAGCTATCATATTACATAAATGAATTGCGTACATAATACATTATTATTACATTTTCAATTGCAATTGCCTGAGTGCATTACTTGAATATATTTTTTTCATCGATTTAACAATATTATATTTTTCTTATATCAAAAACATCTTTCTGTGTTTACACCCGGGAATTCTTTTTAGTTTTCATTAGCTATTTTTTGATTGCATATTCCCTAATTTTTGAATTACTACTAGTAGATCAGATCGTTTGGAGCAGCTAATAACAAAAGAATGAACACCTTAAGAAATTTGAATTTAAAATAAAGCATATTTTCTGCTCTTATTAAGCATTACTATTTGGTTCTGTTTATATATGTATATACAAAATATACGCACAATATAGACAAGTTGTCTCTGCAAAATTGGAGTATTGGTAACATTTATGGATTATAATTATAACTGTATTATTATAATGTGTAAAAACTGTTGCCCGATGAATAACACTTTACACATTTTAAAACAAACACTTTTGTAACCTGCGAGTGCACATTTGCTTTCCTTGGCCCTGTTGAAGCAGACATCTCCATGGGGCCAAAGTGCAACATGTGTTGAAAGATCGAAAATGAGGGACACATATAGTATTTCATATTACTTTTAAAAATTTCACAATTTCCAGTTATTTACAAGTATTGCTGTAGATTTTGTTATAAGAGACAAATGCACTTGGTGCTCCTGCACTTTTGGGTTTTCCTCGCAGTTGCTTTGCTTTGCTCCTAGCATTGTGCTCATACTATACGTATAACCGCTCCATGCTCAAAGAAACCTGCACAAAAAACTGTCATTGCTGCTGCAGTTGTTTGCATTGGACACACACGCACACACATACTTACACATATATGACAATAGGTTACATTTGTTGGGGACACAATGCTTTGTAAGCTGCATAGCCATCGGCAGATGGCTATCCAATTTTACATGTTGCTTTGGATCGAAGCCCTCGGGCGATTCTTGTAAGGAGAGAAAATTAAAAATGCATTGTATGTCTTCCTGTGCACACACAAGCAGAAACAACCGACCAACACCCACACTCCACACACCACACATGGCTAGTTAATTTTGCTGTTGTGTATTTATTTATATACACGACAGTTTGATTAACGCCCACAAAGCACAGCTTGAAGCTGCGAAATGAAGCATAAATTACATGCCTATAACTAGCAGCTATACACACGAAATCAAAGTAATAAAACTCATTTGGTTGCTCAACGGCAGCAGGGCCCAAGCAACGCCCATTAAATTGGGCCTCAAGTCGAATTCGAAGTCAACGTCGAAAAGGAAGTGGAAGCCAAAGTCGTAACACCTGCGCGACTGTAGACAAAATTTATAACACATAAAGTTGATTCTAGCGCTTTACGCTTCTATAATGTGTTCAAGACATGAACGCTGTTCGCAGTCCGTCTGCGCTCTCGACTATTTGGGCGTGCAGGCCGCAGTTTTGTATCACCTACCCTACCCAGTAGCCAAATTACATGCGATTATATGAATTTTAACGGCGCTATTTCTTTGCCTTAAAGGATGAGTAAGACATGACCGACCATCACCATCAACACCACCAACCCCACTACCATCACATAGCGTGGTTGGCGTGCTCGTTAAATATTCAGAAACTGACAAATGATAGCCCTTTAGACGGCTCGTGGGTCTCAATTCGTTCGTGGTTGCCTTCTGCAGGGTATGGATAAGCGCCAATGAGCGGTTTATCTCGTTTTGGCTTTTGCTTTTTTGTTTTTGTTGTCTGCTTTTGGGCGCAACATAAAATTATCATCGTAATGGCGGTGCGGGCGGGACAAGCAGTCGCCTCCGCTTAGCCATAGCCATAGCCGTAGTCGGAGCCGTAGCCATAGCCGTAGCCGTAACGCGTAAATGCGCAACGAGCTTAACGAAAATAAATATTTACGCTCTGATTTTATTTATTTACAAAATTTATAACCTCAACTGTGGTGTAAAAAACCCATGAAAATTGACTACTGAAAGAATAAAATATGCCATGGTCCATGGTTCATGGTCTGCCGATCTCACCCTCCCGCTCACTCACTCTGTCTGTCCGTGATGCGGTTAACAGACACGGCACTAAATAAATTTATGAATGCAATTTGTATGATTTGTGTGTGTGAGCGTGTGGCCAGCCCTGATTTAAAATGCTAATTTGCCAGATGAATTTTAACTTGGAGCCAGCACTGGAGCACTTTCCGGCTGATTGACTGATTGCCTAATTGTCTAATGCCCATTAATTATATAAGCCTCTATTTGTACATTCTTTTCAGGCACCCGGCACCTCGGGCAGCCAAATAGCTACCGTGTCCCACCTGGTGGCATTGGCGAATCAACAACATGTCAGCGCCAATTCCAATGCCAAACAGCAAAAGGCAAGTGGTGGTGGTGGTGGTGGTGGCACTGGCAAAGCAGCAACTGTTGTCGAGCCCAACCACACCAATGAGGTGCCTGAGGGAGAGAGCGACGAGATGGTAGCCGCAACCACAACATTGGCAGCTGCAGAAGCAGCAGCCACCACAACAGCGCAGGCCACGGACGATGGTGCGCTGGATGCCAAAGCCAATGGCGGCACCGAGGTGCTCGAGGATCCGCAACTGCAACAGCAGCTTGAACAAGTGCAGCAACTACAAAAATCAAGCAAAAGTGGTGGTGGATGTGGCGGAGGCGGTGCCAGCACATCGAATGCCACAACCATTACATCAATATCAGCAATCTCGCCACAAACACCCACATCGCCCGCCAGTGCACCACCCCAGGTTGCCGGGCCAATGACAACAAAAACAAGTACACTGACAAGCTGCAACCAGGCGCATCCGCTGTGCAGTTCGACCAATGCCTCCGGTTCGGTGACGCCGGAGCCACGCACCAAGCAACAGCAGCCGGGACAGGGAGCCCATTCGCAAGCACCAACGCAGCAGTTGTCCAGCATTGCGAATCCCATGCAGAAGGTGAACAAACGCAAGGAGACACTCGAGGCGAAGCGCGAACGCAAGGCGGCCAAAACACTGGCCATCATCACTGGAGCCTTTGTCGTCTGCTGGCTACCCTTCTTCGTCATGGCCCTAACCATGCCACTGTGCGCTGCATGCCAGATTAGCGACAGCGTTGCCTCGCTCTTCCTCTGGCTGGGCTACTTCAACTCTACGCTAAGTAAGTGTTATTTAATGTTAGACTTTGTAATGTCCTGCCACAGACAATGGTCAAACGGTTCAACTGAAAGCAAATTAATATACATACTTTTTTGTTTTTGTATCCTGTACGCGATGGCTGAAAATTTATACAAAGAGCCCATTTAATTAGGAAGTAAGACGCTCCGTCAGTCTGTAACAATTTCGTTCTTATTCCGATCCGAACAAGATCAAAAGTAAGATGAACTCGTACTATTCTATTGATATTTTTTGTAATGCGTAATAAAAAACGCATTTAGAGTTTGTCTGTCTCTGATATATGTATAATAGTTTACGCAAGATAAAAATTCCTATCTAAATTCATTTGGCTTGATTATTTAATAGGATTTTGGTAATATTCTAAATAAAATTCAAACGAATGCGGACTTAAAAATTTAGTATCCAAAATTCTTTTAGCAACCACAACTTTTGTGTCTATTGGGATATCTAAAATGAATTTGGTATACAAGTATATTGGTTTTGACATATTCCCTGACTAAGTTTTACTAATAGGCGCAAATTGTTATAGAACTGCTTTGGAAAATGCTGTAGAAACAACTTCACCCACTATATCGATTTTATAATACCTCTGCATATTCTGTTGTTTCATTAAAATCGGCGTACTACTTGTATACCATAATGCACTTGAAGATCAATTTTCAAGTTTGTGGTTAGCCCATTCACTAATATAATCCTTTACTAAGACACTTTTTTGTATCTTTCAGATCCAGTCATATACACCATATTCAGTCCAGAGTTTCGACAGGCTTTCAAGCGCATCCTCTTTGGCGGACACCGGCCCGTGCACTATCGCAGTGGGAAGCTCTAGATAGTGCATGCGAAGAGGCGAAGGTGAGCAAAAGTTTTGCAAAACAATAAAGCCGCTTAGGATGCTTGTCTTGAAAATGGTTTCGTTGGCAGTTGCGACTGAAATTGAAATTGTTTTTATTTGATTAGTATTGTTATTTGTTACTTTTGTTATTGGCTGTGTTGTTTTCATTGGTAATATTCTTATTATGGCCTTCTGTAAATTGAGTCACAAGCACGCAATTGCATTTCTTTTCCCATTTCTTTTGATGTTGGTTTTTGCACAAGTTTCAATTTTCCAATACCAGAAGTAAGTGCGTCCGAAATTGATATTGCAACGCTTTGCATTTCATGAACAACATGCTCACAGCCAACAACCAGCAGGCAGCACGACAGCATATTTCTAAACCTTCTTTAAATCACAAAAGTGCACCAAATTTCGTATGCAGACATACTTATTTCTGTGTCTATGACTGTGTGTTTGAGTCGAAGCTAATCTTTAGCTGCAACCCATACGAATTAATGGCTAGAATGAAAGTTTTATCAGCATCTTATCGCTGCCTGTCATCTGCATGGAGAAACTATTAAAAAGCAGTTTGTCGAACCTGCAACAACCAACGTCCACTCAAGTGTTGAGAGTTGAACAACACTTGGCACCCCAAAGCTGGGCATAATACGAGACTTATCTACAAAGCAAGGAGGCACAGAAGTTTCGCTACATTGCTACATTGCAACAGCTTCCTGTAGTTCCACTTGCATTTCATTTGGAGCCTTAAACGGAGCACAATTCGAATCTGATACTGCTCGGTGCGACTTGAGGGGTCGCGTCTGTGTGTGGCAGCAGTTAAATCTGCGCCATTCATTCATTTCCAAAGGCAACATAAAAGTTAAATTAAGTAACATTAATTTGAAATTTCAGTTTGCCGCTTTGCGTTTGTAATGAATGAGTTTTGCTGAATGGAACTTTTCTTTTGCCAGTTCTCACAGTTTTGCAAGTTACTAATGAAATTTCAACACCAAAACATATTTTGCAGGCGCTTCTGCTAAGACGGTCGGTCGCTTTGTCTCTTCGGCATTAATCATTTGGAGTGGGACGTTTTGAATACCAAATGAGGATTTGAGGACTCCCTGAGAATAACAGCATATACGATCATGTAAAAATTAGGAGCGTAACGATTTTCCTTAAATACTTAAGCCCATTGTCAGTTGTAAATAGGTTATAGTTACAGTTATAGTTAAAGTAAATATGTATAGCAATTAAGTAATCGGCAATACAAATAATTAGAATTGTAATGATACTAGATGGTAAGCTGTAACTAAATTTGTAAATGCTGGCTCTGCGAAGAATAAGGATAGGCCAGTGCCAGAGCCAGCTCGAGGAGACTGTTTTGTGAGAAGGCGAAGAAAACCTACTATATATGTTGTAGATCATACGCGTAGATTAGTAACCAAAATAAAATGGCGAATCCACCAACAATACAAGTAATCAAAATAACACTAGGGTTAACAGTCTATTTCAAACGATTTTTCGTGTTTTCAATTTAAATGTATAAATGATTACATACCAGTACATACAAATGCAAAAGGTACATAAATATATTGAAGGATACACACGTAGGTACATTCAAGTATATTAGGTGTTAGAGCTCTCAGCTGCTTTTTGGGAAACAGGCGTGGGTGGGGTCTTATAATTGGAATCGTTGCAACTGAAGCGAGTACTCGAACTATGATATAGCGCTATATACGAGCATTAAATGTATAAAAAGGCGGCCCCGTACTTGTATTTAATTTAATTGTCATTGTTGAGTATTTAAAAATGAAAGCTATAAGAATTATTAGAGTAAGTGTTGGAACAACCATTGTAAAATTCAAATAATATATACTCGTATATAGATCTATAGTATATATGTGTTTAAATGAAATTTAAACTTATTGTTAGGCAGCAAAGCAAAAACCGAACTATTTAAAATTATTGTACGAATACGATTGAAGCTAGCAAATTGGTAAGGATTTCTTTGAATACGGCGCATAAATAACTAGTAGAATATGCTTTAGACCTATTATGGTAAATGCATAATGTTAAAACGTGTACTTATTTCTGAGGAGCACGCTACATTCGGGAAATATGGGTAAACTTAATTAGCAAAGCAACAACAAAAATCGAAACAAAAACACACGTATACATATGTATGTTAGTTAAAATGCTATTTAAGTACTTAAGCTTAAACAAAAATATTTAAAAAGAAACCCAGAAAAAGGAAACACTCACAAGATATAAAATTATAAGAAGCAACATGTTTTACTATCTTTCTGAAAACTCTTTAAGCCTCGGAGAACTTAAATCAAAAGCCTACCATTAGCAACTCGTGGTCAGACTCTATAAGTTAGCCTGTTAAAGGTTTATGGATCAATGTCTAATATAACAAAATACAGAAAAATAATAACGAAATAGCTATAATAGCAATAGAAATACATATAATCTATATCAAGCAATAATTCGAACACACACATACACATCAAAAAAATTTGTAATTTGATTTCCTTTTGGTATTTATTTCATAATTTGATTCAAAAAACAAATTGGCGCGCATTGAAAAAGAATTGTTGCTTGATATACAAATATTATATGCATTAAGCCGATTATGAAATTTCAAAAACATCAAACGCTACTCTTAAAATACAGTTACATTAATTGGCTGCAAATTAAATAAAAATTCAACTTTCAAACAATTTCTTCTCCAATGTCTTTTATTATATTCTTTACCGCGTTTTGTGAATATCCCATTTTATTGAGTGCCTTAAATAAATAAATAATTACATATCTCTACTAAATAATTATTTATTTTTAAGAGTTCTAGCAAATTGGGATAACTCTGTTCGAATTCCTCTACCCGAAATGCTTACAATTGCATACAAGTATTTGCTACAGGGTATTTAAACGTAATAACTATTTAATTAAATTTCAATTCAGAGAGTATCCACCCGTAATGCTTTACATATTTATTTCAAATTATATATTTCAAACACAACTTATATACAGAGAACTGTGAGAATTCACTTTCGTCCCTAGCTTATGTTGGCGTCAAATGTGAAAACCGTGCTGCCACACTATACATTTTAGATCCGAACTGGCTGCATTAAAACACATATGTTTTCTGCATTCCCTACACACAAACATATGTATATATATATGTATCCGATAGTTTACTCAGATTGGAGAGCCAACGGATTATGTTTCATTTCATATAGAGTGCAGGAAAGAGCCACTAAAGGTTTTTTTATATACATCGTATATATGCACATTTTTTCTTCTTCGCTGTGCCATTTCCAAAAAATGTTTGTGTTCTAAGCCAATCAAGCAGTGTCCTGTAAGAACTTTCAAATATAAAAACAGTGCTGCCACACCGTAGATTTCAGATCCGAACTGGCAGCATTGAAACACAGATGTTTTCTTCAATGCGCATTCCGTACACACACATACAAATATATTTATTTGTATCCTGCGGTCACGTCGCCCGTTGTTTGTTATAATACTAGTAATTATTGCTTAGCTGAACATACATAGTTGAAGCTTGAGGAATCCGAAGAAGGAGCGAAGATAGTTTACTCAGTCCGGTCAGCCCAAGGTTTATGCTTTATCTGATGCTGAGTGCAGTGAAGTGCCGTTGGGGTTTTTAATATATGTATGTATGTATATGCATACATATGTATGCATTTTTCCTTCCAATTCGATGTGCCAGCTTCAAAAAAAAAAAAAGATTGTTATGTTCTAAGACAATCAATCAGTGTCCTGTAAGATATTTTGCCTGTATTGCGCAAGTCCGCCAACACATTAACTGTAAAGTTAGCTTTAAGAAATCAAGACAAATATTTTTGAACAGTCGCCTGCTGGGATTTCAAATTCCACTTCCTCCATAACAAATTTCACAAATTGGCAGCTTCTCCATATCAACAATCAAATATTGATTGCCCTAATTCTCAGATGCGAGAAGAATGGCCGTTTATAGCCACAACAATGTGAAGCAACTGTTTTCCATGGTTGTTTCCGCCGCCGCACTCATGAAAAGCCAGATTTATCTTAAATGCAAATTCCGATAGAATCTTTTGTTCTTTTTAGCAAAACACAACGTTTTCCAATATGATTTTGGACGGATTATTTGTTAAGAACAAAAAATATTGAAATTTTTCCCATCGTTTAGTCTTGTTTTAATCGATAAGTTCGCTGAAAAAATATAAAAAGAAAATTCTCGGTTTCAAGAAGTACGTTCAGACATATCAGAACAGTTTCAGTTTTATTCTTTGTTGAAGGTAATGCAGAGGTTTTACACACGATTAATTTGTTTTCGTCTGTTTATTATTATTATATTTATTTTACTATCTGCACTACAGAATATAGTTACAGATTCAAAAATGCGTTTGTTAAAATAACGACTATTTTTACTACATTTTTTAAATTTTCGCTATATATGGCATTTACTAATTTATTTTGTGGTTATGTCTTTGCTGGCTTGTGTCTTCTCTACTCCACAACCCACCATATGGTAGCATTAGCTTATTTTGTGGTGGAATACAAGAAAGCCGCAAGCAGTGCACTGCCTTATCATTATATGGACGGTTATTTTTAAGATGCAGGCGGTCGACTGTAAAGCAATTAAAATTCCATCATAAAGTATTTTCTTTAAAAGAAAAACGTTTGAAGTGATTTTTTATCTTGAAATTTGTAACTTACTTATTACAAATTACAGATTAAACAGAACTGCGATTACTGTTTGAGATGTTTTACATACTACTTACTGAAATGCAATCAACAGAAACGTTCGTTCCGCTGCATCATCATGAACAGTTTACTGCCACTATCTTCACGGCCTCGACGACCATCAACGTCAAGGCCAGTGTTGCAGCACGTGCACATTTTACCGCGCTGTGAAGCGCAACAGCGATTCACACTTAAAGCCAAACTGCAAACGAAGAAGTAGGAGCCAAAAAATACAAAAAAAAAGAAATTGCAAAAAAACTGTGTGCACAACTAACTGCTGGGTGGCAGGGGGATATGAATTGAAATGCAAAAATATGCAAATGGGACGTCAGCATCGTGTAAACGCGCGAATTCAACGGTTGGGTTTGTTAGACCAACGTCTGTCGATGGACTTGTTTTTTTGTTTTTTGTTTTTAGTTTGTTTTAGATGCCAGAAACTTCGCCAGTCAGGTGCTCTGTTGGTTGCTGATGGCAGGCTTACAGCAAACCGTCGAATGCATCAAATTACGTTTTAAAATGTGCATATGTGTGTATATATGTACATACATATTTGTTTGTTAGTAAACAAGTCGCTTGAAATTAATTTCAAACGCACCTGTGACCAGCAAAAAGCTTCAATCAATATTAATTATATTGAAGCCATACTGTGAGTGTGGGACGAATCATAATTTGAGTTCAAATGCTGCAAGGCAATAGCAACAAAAACTATAATAACAATAATAATAACGGCGCATGTCAACAAATTGCACATTCCTGCCGCTAAAGCGGCGACTGCAACAGCAGCATGTTGTAATATCAGCAACAACAACAACAACAAAAAGGCAACAGCACCCACACACCCATCCCAACCAATCCAACCCTTGCCCGCAACCTTGCGCTGAATAACCACCAAACGAACAGCAAAAATCTCACACACACACATTCATCTGCAATCTGCAGCTCAGTTTCGGAATCGCGGAAAGCTCTGAGCGCTAATTACGCAGGCGCATGCGCTTTGCATTAAGCTTTCGTACCGCTAGCACCACCCCCCTTCTCGTGCTTTCCATTTTTGGGTGGTGGTTGCCCTCGTCGCTTCAATGCGCCCGTATTTGGCAGTTGTTTGGCGTATTTGGTGTGCCAGCAATGTCTGCAGTGGGTGGCAAGGTGGTGCGGTGGTGAGGTGGCGCGGTGGACGGTCAGTATGAGAGTGATGGTGACACAGCAACTAAGCGCAGAGAGCAACGCTTGTCAGCCACTCTCAGACAAAGCTTGGCAAGTCCGATTGTAAAATACTTCTTGCCGCTTTTCTATGAATGTGCGTGCGGGTGTGTGTGCAAACATCTTTTTTTGTCTCGCGTCAGTTCGACGGAAGACGCTCGTGAGCACGGTACGTTTAACGGTGACTTGAGCGCGCTTGTGTGTGCTTGTAGGGGGTGGTTAGCAAATGGCAAATGGAGAAAAAATTACACATATACTTGTACATATGCATGAAATAATAGTCTAGGCAACAAAAATAATGCGCAAAGTTATTCCTGCGCTAAAGTGAAGTGCAAAAAATTACAAATTAAATTTAAACTCGACAAAAGTTACAATTAACTTAATTAAATACAAATTGAACCGAACCAGGTGTGTGAGTGTGTAAGTGTTACCTGCAACTTTGTGCTGTCATCGCCAAACTAGCAACGATAAACAACAACAAAAAGCGCTGCTGCTCGATCATACTATATACTGATATATGTATGTATGTGTGTGTGTGTGTGCCTGTGTTCTGGTAATACCAACGTCGCATGGAAATAACTGTAACACGCCGTGCACTAACTGCTCTTTTCCCTCGACGAGGCCGCGTAAAGTTGGACAGCAACTCGCGGGCAACTTTTTTTGGAAAATCTCGTTTTGAAAATCCCATGTAGTGGAACCAAAAACAAAAAAAACCAACAACTGTGGAGCTCTCCTTTTTTGGCACACTAATTTAGCGTTGTCACTCGCGTATGCGTGGGCGTGGGCGTGAGTGTGGGTGTGGGCGTGGCGCGGACATGACTACCAAGTCGGAACTATATAGCCATTGCAACGAGTCCATTTCAGTTTTGTCACATTTTTTTTGTTCAGCGCAGCGTTAATTTGTCGCGCTTTTGCTTCGCCATGGAGAACGAAACGACAGCTGAAATAAAGGATGTTTTTAGCGCTTAAGGCGAACCACGAGTAACAAAAAAATATTGCGGTAAGTTGTTTTGTTTGTTATGTTTTGTTTTTCACATGAAACTTAATTAATATAGCCGCATGTTCGTATGTTTCTGGCAGTTGTAACATTACACTTTTCTGCACATATAATACACATACTCGTATGAACGTTCTGCGTTTTGTTTGTGCGGCTGCTTTCAGCCATGGCTTGAATAACTTCTAATTAAGGTGCAACCGGTTGCCAACGCAACCGCTCATAAGCCAGTGGTGGTCCTAGCATAACCAGCAATGTAATATACGGCTTATTTCCTTTGTTCGTGTACACAATTGCAGCACATTTGGTCGGCAAACTAAAGTAATGTTATAAACGATATTTACAATACACATAACAGTATTTAAACCAATACATAACAGCCCCGAATCTTAGCTAATATAATGAAAAAATCTAAATTAATTTAAATAGGACGCAGTATTAAATTCAACTATAAAACGTAATTACTATTACAGATCTATCTACTCGTATATACTTATATTGAAAAGCTTAAGATCCATAGCAGTAAGAGGTTACTGACCTGCTCTCTACATCTGTGAGGTCCTCTCGATTCAAAAGGCATTCAAATCTATTCAGTTTGGGACTTGAGAAAGATGGAAGCATTATTTTCAAATATTTTCAAATATATTCGACATTTTCTGGTGTTTAATATCCAAGTTCAACACATTTCTGTTCCGCTACATAAAAGTTGAGTTGAAATTAGGTCCACAAAAGGTGAAATGGTGCTATGGAATGCGAATTACAATAAAAATCATCGAATATTGTTGCATTTCTATGAAAGATTAACGATCATATGTGTAAACAGCTTACCAAAACATTCGGACATTTTGAAATGGGTGAATCGATGAATATTAATAGCATCCGAGCAAGCTTATTAGAAAACACATTTAAATTATGTTATTATTGCGATTGCCATTTTAATAGCATAAAATAATTAAATTAGCTTGATTACATTTATAAATAATGAACTTCAAGAGTATTAAATAAAAACATTACAAATATATGTGGTTTCATGTTTTTTTTTTTTTTTTTTAAATCAAGCATTTGAAGCCGTGCATTCAGATTAGCACCTTAACAATACATTTTTACAAATATAAAATAGCCCAACCTCGAGCACTTCCGCGCGGGGATTAATAAGTTAGTGGTGGCTTATGCTTATCTAAATGTTTTGAAAAAACCTAATCGTTTCAGTCTTCGCAAAGGTCTAGCAGGAGGGAGTTCTCTTGCAAGCAAACTGCGGTGATTCAGAAGCCTGTCACTGTAATGAGGTTTCATGTGAAATTCAATTTTTTTAAGGTAATTTTATTTTTGGTTGAGGCTTGTTATTGCCATTGTCATATTTAAATTATGACACACATTTCAGGTTTGATACATTATCGAGCCAATTATTTGTGTGTCTATAGTATTACATTTGTCAGACTTGTTGCCCTTCTTAAAAACTCTAAGAAATCTATGTTGCACAACATAAAGTAATCTTCGGGTAAGATAACTAAATTATCAAAGTACCGAGCTGATAAAAGTTACTTCTTCTAATCTACTCCTTCATTCGGCGAATTATCAAATCAAATGATTAAAAATATGTCATTCTATTCCCAAGCTGTTACTTGATCGATGAGATTAGTATTTAATAGGGCTGTGTCATTGAAAGGGGACATCTTGCTGATTTAAGAGATTCTATTAAATGCCAACGATCTGATAAGTCACTGTAAGAAGATAAAAGCAGCCTCAGGTACGAGTATTACTTAAAAGTGCGTCACAACACGTTTCTTGATCAACTTTTTAGTTGGAAACTGTGTCGGCCCAATGCCAACGGCAAGTATTATATTCTGATTATCCACTTTGGCCAGCACTCTGCAAAGTTCAAGCCTGACTTCGGGAGGGCGAAAGTGAAAGGTTAAAGGGGGCTAAAATGCAAAGTGAGCAGCTCAGCAATTCAAGTAATGGTAATGGTGGAGGCGTGATGGTGGTGACACGAAAACGATATAATTTATAGCAAAACAATGGCCATGTCTATAACTCGGGCACACAGAGCTCTCCTCCACTTGCATTTCAGTTCGATAGTCGTCCACTTGGCATTTATTGCGAAATGAAATCCATTTCAAAAACAAAGCAAAGCCCACGCATGGCCTAACAAGTGAGAACAGAATAGACTGACGTACTGACGGTCGAGTGGACAGACGGGGCAGTCATGCGCATACATTTTGAATGCAAATTCAAATTCAAATCAGAGTGCCAGTATTCTTGCCTCACATACGCAATAAGCAAGGGATTGGCGAGGGCGTTCCATTCTAACTAAACAAAAGAAAAGAAAAGACAATGAAAGAAGGCAGCTCTGAAGAGCTTAAAATGCGTTTTGTCAACATTATCAGAGGCCGGAACTGAAACACTCTCCGGAGATTGTTGTAGCTGAGGGCAGATAAAGGTCTAGCTGGTCAGTCGGTTGTCGGGTTGTTGCTCGGATGGGCAACCGTTTGGTTGTCAGTTGAGAGCCTGCTTTGGGCTTAGGTTGGGCATGATTAATGCTGTATTGTAATGGAATTGCCTTTAAATAGACAAGGCCAGCAGGAAAGGGTCGAGAATTTTCGCAACTGCCAAATGTACAGTAGCCTGTTGCCTGTTGCCGCCAACCCCCAAGGACGACAACAACACGGACGGTGAGTTGGTGAGATGAGTTCGTAACAACAGCCCTTGCTTTAGAGTTGCACAAATCACAAACACAAAGCGAAACAACAGCAATGGAAACAACAACAATAAACATGAATAATTCAAATGTGCGCATGCATTCAAAACGGTGTAGAGGGCCTGAACACAAGCAAGCCGTTCCCCCTTAACCTCGTAGCCCCGCTTCTCATTTTAAGTGCATTATCCTTGCGCGTGTTGCACAGTGGTGCTCGGAATGCTGTCTTTGTCAACCCTCAACCCTCAACAAAGGCGTAAACTCATGTGCCACACACACACACACTCACACACACACATAACCGCTGCTAAGTCCATAGACACAGTTACATTTTATCCTTGAATTGTTGACTTTAACGATGCTTCTTGCTTATACCATTCCTTTCTCGACTATTCTCGCTTGTTTTTGACACTTCAGCTTCATCAGTATTGTCAGAGCACTCGAAACTTTTCCTAACAATCGCTCTGCATCACTCAATCATGTATTGGCAATCAAGATATCGAAGCATCCAACCGTTATGCGCACATAATTTGTTCCAAACGAGACACTCTCTTCGCCATATTGACAAATTGCTACAAATTTAAGGTTTAAAATTTAATTTTAGAAAAACTATTTCCCATAATGAATAATGGGAAACAAATAAATATTAATTAATGCCAGAAAAACTCATAGTTCTGGTTTCTTTTCCTGCTTTCCATTTAAGCTAAGGCCGATTGTAGCCAGTTTATAATTTTAGTCAAAATAACTAGATTCTAGTTTAAAATTATGAGTTTTTACCTACATTTTAAATAACCAAATAGTGAAGTACAACACTTATATATGCAAAGATTTTATTTCAGTATTTTTCATTACTAATAAGTGTTTGAATTTTCAAGTATTGTTTGGGAAATCCGTTGGTTTCTTCACCTTTACTGTTAACTGATAGAGTTGCTTTGTTGGTTGCTAAACAAATTTCCCGAAAGCTTCACTTTTTTTCACATATGAGTACGCACCTGTGCCCAATATCCAATTTCGAGTGTGTGCTTTCCAATATTTTTCGAGAATTGAGTTAAATATATATTCACATACATAATGTATATTGTATCGAATGCGCAGTTGTGGCGGCCGTGCCTTTTGCTCAAAACTAGAGTAATTCTGCTGCCGTCGCAAAATGGAAATATAACCTTTCCGCCTATTAGGTGTGGGTGTGTCTGCGGCGCTCAGCTGGCATACCTCTCCATTTCTACGCCAAGCACGTATTTCTTTTCGAGCTAAATTAGATTGCGTGCGCCAGGTCGGTGTAGTTGCCTCGGTTTTGTGCAACGACAGGTGCTAAATACGGCACCGGTCGCGAGTCTTAGCTATGGGTGCGGGAGTGGGTGCGGGTGCAGGTGCGGCTGCGGACAGGTATAGGGACAGTTACAATCGCGTGGCGTAGCTTGGCGTGGTGTCGTGCTGAGTCTGAGTCTGAGTCTGGTGCTGGTGCTTTAATGGCCATCGCGAAGTGCTCGGCGCGAGTCTCGTTAAATTTATGCACACAAACTAATCTCTTTAGTGCAATTAATTATGTGGCGCCCCCATTTTGTAAACTAAACCAAACTTAACTTAAATGTTGCTAGCGCAACAACTAACTACTTTTCAATATAGTCGTTAGGGAGAGAGGGCAGGGAAGTTGAGGGGCAAGGACCCGTCATCTGGTATCTGGAAATGCTCACTGCCTGATTACCAGCTGCACTTGCATGATGAGGAGAAGTTTCCGCTGCATACGCTTCGTAAAACTTTATCCTTTCGGCAGTCTGATAAGGAGGCGAGGCAATATGGACACGGAACAGGCGGAAAAATTGCTGCCACTGGTTGTATATACAAAATTGTTCACTTTGTTGCTGTTGCTGTTGTTGTTTGCGTTTGCGTTTGTGTTTATTTTCGCGTTAACACTTCAATAAATTTCGCTGGCAGGCGCTTCGAAGCGACACCGACGCAGATTCCACAGCCTCATCATGGCCCTTAAGCTGGCAAGCTGGCACGCGATACAAAACCACAACCGAGCTAAGCGCCAACTTTCAGCTCAGATGCAACGAAATGTGAGCTGAGTCAGGGTAAAAGTTGAAATGAAGAAATTAAAACTTTCAACCGCTTCCCAAACAGCCGAAATCAATGCAAAAATTTCGACGTTGTAATGCAATATTAATTAAAAGTAAAGAAATAATCGATGACATGTTAAGTGATAGCTTAATGCTGTTGGCAGCTGCATATATTGTACGAGTATGTCCTGGATAATTTCTGAACAATGCAAACAATATACCATAATGGCTGCTGCGATAATAAAGCCAGA